ATATTAAAATTCAGAAAACTAATAAGCTTTGATGATGATAAATAATGATGAAAAGAACCATGCCCACTTTTCATACAATTAAAAAAAAGTTTATGTATAGTTATACGAGTTATACGAGTAAGGTATAGTAGAAAAACTTCCTTTTAATTTAGAAAATAAGGTCATGCAGTCATTTTAACGGTTTAAACGCTACGAAGCCCAAAAATATTAATGTTAGTCTTTAGGTTAGGATTTGCAGCACTTCCGACGTTTGGCTCCCAAACTGGAACGGACCGGGGCTGCCTTCAGGCGGCTCCTGCCGAACCTGGGGGGGCCAAACGCCTCCTGCCGGAGGCTCTACGCGGGGATCGTGAGGTCCATGGCCCTTTACGGGGCCCCGGTGTGGGCGCGTGGTTTGGCGCGGCTTGCCGTCCACCACCTAAACGCGCCCCAAAGGGTGGTTGCCGTAAAGATGGTTCGCGGCTACCGCACGATCTCCCGCGAGGCGGCGAGCCTCCTTGCCGGATTGCCGCCATGGGATCTGGAGGCGATAGTCCTCGCGCGCCTGCACGAATGGCGCGCGGCAGCACTATGCCGGGGGGAAACCCCGCTGCCGCGGCAAGTTGTCGCGCAGCGGACAGACTTCCGGCATGATCTCATGGAGAGAGCGACTGTCGCAACCCCGTGCTGGGCACGCCACTATAGCGGCGATAAGACCCCTCTTTGAGGAGTGGCTTGAGAGACGCCACGGCGTCCTCACCTTCCGCCTGACGCAGGTCCTCACCGGACACGGTGTGTTCGGGAGGTTCCTGCACCGAATCGGGCGGGAGGAAACGCCCGGGTGCTCCCACTGCGAGGATCGACCGGAGGACACGGTGGAGCACACCGTGGAGGTGTGCTCTGCTTGGGCGGAGCACCGCCGTGTCCTCGTAGCGGCGATAGGCGGCGGCGACCTCTCGCGTCCGGCTCTGGTCGAAGCCATGGTCCGGAGCGAGACGGAATGGGATGCCGTCACCACCTTCTGCGAAGCAGTGATGCTAGCGAAGGAGGTGGCGGAGCGGGAGAAGGAAAGAGCAACAGCTTTCCTTCCCGGCCGCCGCGGGAGACGCCCCGGGCGTCGGGGGCTACGTCGTGGCCCCCTACCACCGTAGGCGCGGGCCTGTGGACGGCGAGCAATGGGTAGCTCGCCGTCCGTCCGTCTAACGACGACAGGCCGTGTCGACGGCGCGTTTTGTTCCACGCGCGCCTCAAAGAGCTGTCAGCAGCGTGAAGGGGCCCGCAAGGGCCGACGCCTGCCGGGGCTGCGGGCTGTTCGAAAGAGATACCGCGGCTCCGGAACGTAAGGGCACTGAAGGAACACGGATGGTTTTTAGTCAGTAAAAGTCTGACACTCCCTTCCGCTCCACCCACAGCGAAAGGCGTCATTAGATGATTTTCCATCCGCAAAAAAAAAAAAAAAAAAAAAAGGTTAGGATTTGCCGTTACCAAATTTTTCTATCTCTTATTAATGTTCTATCTCCAGTTCCATATATTTCTATTTTATATGATCTATGAAAAAGACGCAAAATGGCACAATACACAACGAGACGCAAACGCAACAAGTGATTATATTCTCTTTGGTAACAACGAAGGACTGCACCGATGAGTTTTGGCGGGAACTTGACAAGCGACAGTTTGCTGCTCCTGTATTATTGTTTAAATAATGGTTTGAAAAGTGTTTGGTAAAAGTAGTGCGATTTTGTGTATTAATCGATCGATAGTTATACATTGTAACTTCAGGTTCAGAAGGGCTAGAACCCAGAGCCGTAAAGCCAGTTATAAACAAAACTATACCGATGTCAATAGTAGAACCATCAAATGTCAAAAAAGTCCGTTTCACTCGTGCTCACTCAATGACATACTGCATGATTAATTTATTTAATTATTATGTTATTTTTAATTAATCTGTACTATATAAAGAGTAATAAAGAAATACTTACTGATTAAATAAAACATAAAATAATGTTTAAAACCCAGAAACAGAGTTCAATTAAGTCAAGTAAGAGTATGTAAAATGGAACGTCCTAGAAAAAAGGGTAGTTAAGATGCGTTCAAAATATGGTAGTAATACGTTTACCCTTGACCTAGAATAAGCTTAAATAAATATTAAAAAATATTTTTCTCCTGTGTTTCTTTTAACATTGTGATAAGCCTATTTAACTTACAATTCAATTAGCTGAATTTTAAAATTTATTTCATTTCTATATATAGCCAGGTGAAAAATGAGCATCTTTCTATATAACATTATTTAAAAATATAACTATCAACCTATAAATATTTTTCGCATGCGAAAGTAAAGCAGGCGAAATCTTCCGAAAGGTCGCAAGAATTATCGTAACATAAAACAAAACCGTAACGTAAGCCTTGAGGCGTGACTTATATATTTTATAATACACATAAGCCACGCGTAAATATGTCCTTTTATCATTTCTTTATAGGATAAGGGTGAAACGCGAGTACACGGTACACCTGATAGTAAGTAGTTGCTGTGGCCTATAGTCATCTACATCTATATTCGTTTGCGAATCAAATTGCAGATGAGTTCTCTACACTCGCCATACGAAACACAATAGCATTAAGCTGCTAGTTTATGCTGGTACTCTGTGAGAGCGTGGTGCTTCCCCGATCGAGTCGACCCATTCGTGCTAAAATTATACATACAATTAATATAGCTGCAACATGGCTATACCGCGTCTAACATGACTCTACCACGTCTATAAAATGCATATAGTAATTTAAAATGTTATAATCATTTGAATTATTGTCTGATGTATAATAGAGTGCATCAAATTTATTGTGATCTGTAGGTGTAAGGTAAGTGTAGGAAAATATTCGGTAAACTTTGTGGAATCTAATAAATGTCGTTTACCAGTCGGTGGTTTATTCTTATTAAAATACTCATACCGTAGTCACGGGCAGCTTGAAAGGTGTAAACGCCTGGATATGTGATATTGCTGTCTATTCTAGCAGTATGGAGACGGGAATTGTCATCTATCAAAAATAATTTTCATGAGTATTATTAGCTCAATGCTTTTGTTGAATAATATCAACAGTATTTTCTTAGATTTTAAAATTAAGCACGTGCACTCTATCAGATGTTATTAAATCACTTTAACGATAATAACGTTAAAATAATAAAATGTTCTCCAGACTGAACTTCGTCAACGACGGCTAGTCTCAACGGATACTAGAAGGTAAAATACCAAAACATACACAAACAATATCAAATAATGCAAATGAAAATACTTAAGAAATGGCAAAGATGGCCATCTTTGTACCAACAAATGACGATCGGGAAAGGCTTTGCCGATAAAAGATTAGAGATCTGAAAAAAGAAACCACAAAACACGAGACTAAACCCTTATGCAAAATATAGGCATACACGACAAGTGCCGTTCTAAATGTAATGTTATTTCTAGATTCTGGGTCGACTATTAAATTAAGTGTTTAGGGAGTCTAATTATAAGATTCTCTCCAAAAAGTTGGAATAAATTCAATCATTGTTTGTTCGTGTGACAATTGTACGAAGAAAAATATTTTTAGTTGGGGAATTTGTATAACAAATATGCATGTGAATAATTAAAACTTATTTTTAATGTTAATTAGTTCAACGGAACAGTGATTATATTGATATTGTAAGGTTTTAAAAAGAAAATTTTCGCCTTCTTGGGTATTATAATTAACATTATATTATGTATAACGATTTATTAAATTTACGCGAGTAACTCGTATGGAATCGAACAAATTTTACGGATTTTAATCGCGATTTATTTTAAATTTTTATACGTGGTAGAGTCATGTTGTACAGTAGAAGTCCATTAGTCGGGCAACAGTCCGGAATGCTCGATAGTCCGAAATCGCTCTTTGGTTTTCGGTTTTCACCAAAAGTGTGTCTTTAAAGCAAATAAAAACGCTCGAGAGCTATTCGGAAGTTTTCGGGGTAGTTCGGGATCATCCGGAAGTGCTCGGTATTGTTCGGAAACAATTACGTAGTTAGCGGCCGGCTGGTCTCAGCTGTCACAACAAATTCAGGTGCAGTGCAGCTCCGTTAATCAATCACGAAGCGTCTTCGCCATTTTTTGTGCGTTGTTGTTTTGTGTTCTTTCACCTCGCAGTAAACGTAACTTTTGAAACTATTTATAAAAAAAGTGAGTTATGTTCTCACTGTACAGTGACCATGTTTTCAAAACCTAAGCCTTCGAGTTCAAAAGGAGAGAAACGAAAACATGTAACACTGATTCTCATTCAGAAATTAGAAATCATCAAACGGCTAGAAAAAGGCGAGCATAGAAATATTTTAATGAATGAGTTTAATATTGGCTCATCAACTATGAGCTGACATAAAAAAACTAAAAGATGAACTAATGAAGTTTGCTTCTCAATCGGTAACAACTGAAAAATTGGCTACTAGACAAACATTGAAAAAACCAAAACTGGAACAGCTAGATAGTGTATTGTGATAGTGTATGTTCAAATGGCTTAGTGCAGTACGTTCTGAAGGAAAGCCGGTAACAGGGCCAATGATTGTTGAAAAGGCAAAGAAATTCGGCCAAGATTTAGGAGTTGCTGAAAGTGAATGTAATTATTCTTATGGTTGGCTCAGAAACTTTAAGTTTCGGCATGGAATTCGAAGACCTGATGTAACTGGAGAAACACTTTCAGCAAACCAAAATTCTGCAGAAAAATACAAAGACGAGTTTGAGAAAATCGTGGCTGATAATGATTTAACATCTGAACAGATTTACAATCCTGATGAAACAGGGCTATTGTGGCGATGTTTACCAAATCTACACTAACTCGGGGAGAAGAAAAAGCAGCCAAGGGTTTTAAAAAAAACAAAGACAGATTAACCGTTTTGCTATGTGCTAATGCGTCTGGAAACACCGAGTGACCCTTTTGTGTTAGGTAAATCTGCAAAACCCAGGGCTTTTAAGAATGTTACACACTTGCGCATCCAATACAAAGCTCAATCAAATGCGTGGATGACTGCCGCCATCTCTAAAGACTGGTTTTTTCACCACTTTGTGCCTGAGGTCAAGGAATCCTTTAAAAACCTTGGTCTACCAGAAGATACTAAAGCCATCCTTCTTTTGGACAACTGCAAAGCTCACCCGTCAGTAGATGAGTTAGTTTCTGAAAATATTGTTGCTACTCTGCTCCCACCTAAAGTAACATCTTTGATTCAACCTGTGGACCAGGGAGTTATTCAAAATTTTAAATGCTTTTATAGAAGGTCTTTTATTCAAGGCCTGTTAAATGCCGACTGTGACGTGACTGATTTTCAAAAAAAAGTTTACAGTAAAAGATGTCGTCTATGCTATTGCACTGTATTGGAACCAGGTAAAAAATACAACACTCTAAAAATGCTGGAGAAAACTTTGGCCAGCTGGAAACCCTGCATCTGACCTAACTCTACAGACTGATGAGGAAAAAAACCACCTAGACGCTCAGACCAAAGTTTTGGATGTCGTTAGAAGTGCTGACAATCCCTTGAAAACCCTGCCTAAAGATGAGGTAGAGGAGTGGCTTCTAATCGACGGGAATGAGCCTGTTGAACAAGAACTAACCGATGAGAACATTATCAACATTGTAGTTAACCCTCAGCCTACTCAAAATCTTGTAGAAAGTGACTCAGATGCCGAAACGGAAGAAAAGGAAAAATCAGCTGAGCAGAAGCTGCAGAATCACTAAATAAGTTTATCTCTATTGCTGAGGCTATTACTAGTTACAGTGCTTCAGAAATTATTGATTTCCATATCATTAGAAATAAATTTTATACTAAACGCCAAAAGTCAAGAAAACAAAAAGACATTCGTGACTTTTTTAAATCTAAGTGAAATATGTTTTACAGTACTTGTACATACATTATATGAAATTTAAAATTAACTTTGTTGTATGTACATACATATTTGCATACTGTATTAATATTAACTATTATTATTAATTATTAACCTAATTGTTCTTATAATTACCGCCCGATAGACCAGAATTTTCGGTAGTCCGGCACCGAGCCGGTCCCGAATGTGCCGGATTATCGGACTTCAACTGTACCTATATTAGGTTTGTAGCACGAATCCGTCGACTCAACCGGGTCTTACAGAATACCAGCGTAAAATAGTAGCGCAATTTTATTGTGTATGGAATGCGTATGGTGAGTATTCCATCGTTATTCTTTGGGGTATCTGTATGTGCATCTTGACTTTACATCTATGTTTATGTATCTGCATCCTTAGCATCTGCTTCCCATCAGGTGGACTGTGACTGTGGTGACGTTTGTTACTGTCATCCTATAAAAAATGCGGGAGTGTCGTGGAACACTCGGTTGGAACGAAATTCCTTCCGTTATGTTATTGGTTAACAAATACAAAAAAATGAAATACTAGCGTTTATTAAAATGAAGCGTCACTTCAAGATAAGAAAATTATATGAGTGGATATTATTCCTCTCACTTCCTTATTTCGCCCCCAAGGCCGTCTACGAGGACACTGACACAGGCTGTGGTGACGAAAAAACCTTACACTTTTTGTCGCCTAGCTCCCATCCGCCAAACCCGTACCGTCTGATAAGGAACTTAGTTCCAAAAACTGACGTAATCCAGCGGATCAGTAGGGTGAATTTAGGTCAGCTCGTAGAGAAAGGTTCTCGAGTGGCAGCCTCGTACTTATAGGCGCAATGTTGTGCGATCTCCTCTAGTTGGAGTGAAGACCCGATGAAGCCGCTAAGTGCAGGTGGCTTGCAACGTGGTTTTAATTCCCGTTGTTTTCGGTTCTTTACAACAAACTTAGTTTTATTCCATCATCAAAAGTTTCGAAATACACATCTAAGTTAATCGTAAGCGATACCGAAAATGTACAATTTTAAAAAGAAACATTTACTTAGTCTAGAATGTAAATTACATGAAATTTATGAACATGAAACCTTGAACTAGGGTAAGTAAAATGGACAAACACTTTTTTATTTTAAAGATTTTGAAAAGTTTAAATAATTATTTGAGGAAGTAAAACAGTAATACATTTCTAAATTTGAAGCAAGCCCTTTATACCTATATCGATTTGTTTAACCATTTAATAATCATTTGGTTCATTATAAAAGCAAAAGCCTAGTCACGTAAGAGCAACATTTAGGGAATTTCAAAACTACCCTTCTTGTAACACTTAAATTATAGCGTCCTCAAATATTTGAAAAAAACATTTTTGTTCGTTAATCTGATGTGAAAATATTATGTTAATGTTTTAAGGCAAATTGTGTATACTTACATGTGATATATAATATCGGTACTACTTTTCTTACTTGTCTAGTAGTTTCTACACAATTTGATTTTGCAAATCGTCACTTTTGATTTTTTTCCGGAGAGCGATTCGTGTAGTCGCAACACAGTCCCAATTAGCACAAAATGGGGTGTGAGGAAGTTATCGGCCAACAGTTGTACGGTATTTTTTCACCCTTTATCAACCACCATCAAAGGATAGTACCTACTTCCAATAAAATATACATTTAATATGTATAATATACTCGATACCAAGTTTCAAAGGAGAAAAGGAAAACGCACATTGAGAAACTTGCAAAGGAATTAAGTTCTGCTATTTTTACAAAGCATAAAATTAGGTAGTTAACAAACATAAAGCTTTTAATGTACTATGTTATCTGCTTAAATTAGTATACTTTGCGTATGTTACAGTGTTATAGTTTATGAAACTCTGCTCTGAGGAAGGCTGTGCATATTCTTATAAAAACATAACTGCATTGCAAACACGAGGTTTAAGATGAACTTAAAATAATACGAGTATAGGAATAAGTTTCCGTGTCTACATCTTTATGGGAACACGTTCGTAACCTATACAAATAAATAAAATTGGAGTGTCTGTTAGTAATATCAAAATAACAGCTTTTTACTTAATGCATAGGAAAGTAAAAAGGTACTTACAACAAAAAAGATATTTTTAAAGTTTTTGTCTGTCTGTCTGTCTATCTGTCTGTCTGTTTGTTCCGGTTAATCTCCGAAACGGCTGGACCAATTTTGATGGGAGTTTCACTGGTAGATTTCTGATGTTATAACGAGTAACTTAGGCTACTATCATTTTAGAACGCGAATTAGGGTTCCGCGAAAAAAAATTAAAACCCTTGAAATTGTGAACAAAATTCAAATTCAAAGGTAAATAATAAATGGAAGTATAATAATGTATAATATAATATACATTCAACTTAATCCAATGTAAACACTAAGTATAATAATAATATAATAATAGGATATAATAATACCCAGTACGCCCCACGCGAACGCCGTCGCCATGGCCGCACCGAAAGACATTATTACAAAGGCTACCTGTCTGGCGTGGGCTATTACGATGGTTGTGTCTCAACGCGCGCCCTATAAAATTATTTTCGACCAGCATATAGCTGATGTTATAAGGAATAACTCTTATATTAGAATAATCATATCAGGGTCAATAATCAGTAATAATCAATAATCAGTTTTCCGCGCAAAAATATATAAAAATATATCGTAACAAATCGTTATATATTCCACGCGGACGAAGCCGCAGGGAGCAGCTAGTAAATTAATAACTAAGTAAAACATAAATTACTCAAGCAGGACTTACTCTTGTACGTGTTAATAACACGCTGCAGCTATATTATGGTAGTAGCACGAATGGGTTGGTTCGGCTGGAGTAGGACCACGTTCTCACAGAATTCCAGCGTAAAATAGTAGCTCAGTGCTCCTGTGTTTCCTATAGGGCGTCTAGAGAACCGGAGAACCCATTTTACTGGAAACAAGGCATTCCATATTAGGCCTCAGGGGTAACAACGAATATGCATTTGGATCCTAATCGAGCATATATGTAGGTGTGTACAGGCTAAGGCATTCACTAACCATAAGGTGGCCTGTGAGTTAGGTAATCAACCTTATTCTTAAAAAAAAACTTAGAACAATAAATTGAACATTCCAAAAGTTAATTGGACCAAAACTAAATAATCATTCTTAACCATAATATCATTGTGTAAGAAATTTTACAATTAAACTGAAACTTTTGAATAGATGTTACAAAGTGTAAAAAAGCCACTATGAAATAAATTATGATAACATCTTAATACGTCTGCATATGGGCCTATTCCGTTGTAAGAAATACATCATTATCATCATTACAGCCTATCCAAATTAACTGCTAATCATAATCCTTTCCCTTATATAATTCTACTCATAGGTGACCCCCCCCCCCCCCTTAATTGCCATAGTTGGCAACCGCAGTTTTTTATTATTATTTTGAGTTGTTATCAGAAAGTTTCTGATGCCTTTTACAATAACTACGAGATAATATGGGGTAGTGGATTGTCTTATGCTACCACTACACGCAAAAAGAGGATTTAGTGATACACAATACACAAAAGGCTCCGTCATTTTTCGCATCGGTACGGCTGTAATTATAAGTATGGTAAGCTGTGTTATGTAAAATAGAATTGACACATCACGTCCATTCATCAAAAAATCAGGAAGAAAAAGTGACCACAAAATTTTACGCCGATTCCTCTATATATATATATTATATATATACATAGAGGAGTCGGCCTAAACTGAATAAGATATGTTTGTAGCTATCCTCTTCTTGTTTCATCTTGTTTAGATTTGTTACTAAACTTCACAAATTGAATGTGCCCGACAAGAGACTTTACAATATGCGAGCTTTTCTTGTTAACCGTTTCTTCCGCTATCGATTTAAGGGAATTAATAAGAAGGGTGAGTTCAAAGCGAGTGTCTCAATAGGTCGTTCATTTGCCGCTTTAATTCAAGCTATATACGAATGATATTTCCAAGCACTACGAGTATATAAACGGCACTTGAAATCACCGAACACAACAAAAGTCTTTATATTAAACTTCCTCAGCGCGCCACCGATCGGTTAAATGGATAATTGATTATCATCAAAGTTTGAAGGCTTAAATTTGAAGATAAGCATGTCAAAACGTCGGTAAATCTTTAAGGTGATTAACTAGCGTGCCTTTCTATGTTTCAATCTAAAGTGTACAAATTGCCAGTATAATTACAACTTGAGAGGCATTCCATACTAACCCACAGTGGTGACAACGCATCTTAGTCTTCTGTGTTCAAAGTTGGTTGCAGTAGCGACTTACCATCAGGGGGGCTATTAGTTTGCTTATGTAACTTCAATTAAAAAATAAGAGACCTAAAATATAAGCTACAACTACTACGACATACGAGTCGCAGTCCTTGTAGCTTATACTTTACTTACTTTCTTTTTGTACGATCTTATGCAAGTGTCGTTTTCACTGTAGTGGCGTATAGGAATTTACGAATTATAAATAATGCAAAATAATTTCATACGCAGATGCTCGAACTTTGGTAATAATATCATCGAAATTCCGATTGTTTAGTCAAAGGAAACAGTCCATTTCTGGCCCAGTCTATGTACAATATACCGTAAAAAAGAGAAAAATTCAGGGATTTTGTTAAAAATAAAAGGAGAGAATAAATCAAAATAAATAACTTGCAAAAAATAAAAATGCAATCCCAAGTTTCTGATTGTTTTACAAGATGGTGCCCTTCCAGTCATAAAAAAGTAAAAAAAGACACGGTTATTTGTCAAATGTCATTTCTGTCAAATGATATTTTTATTTATTTCGAGCTTGGTTGTGTAGTTCAGTAGTCACTCTACTCTCTACTTGTTTGACTCTGCTTTTGTTTTTGGACTAAATGATTTACGTGAGATTTTGATTTCGTTGATATCGGACATCTGTATTCTGTGAATCACATTTTGAATCAGTAAGCAGGTATGTACGAAAGAAAGATGTTTCCTTAAGCTATTAAACGCATTTCAATGACATGCTTCTATCTGTAGTCTGTTAATAATTAACATTCTTCATAAGTTCATAAGGGCTGCAAAATCTTAATATGATGTAATTATCTTTCAATTCACCTGTTAAAAGATGTTGCACTGTTTAAAATGCGCTTCTGCAATATAGATAGTTTATTAAAATAAGATTGTTTTGTTTTAGATGGATGTCTATGCACCAATATGTCCACAATGTTTTGCAAACGTACTACAAGAATTATCTGTCGGCACAAATCTTGAAAATGAGCTCCAGCGCCCTAATGCCAATACTATCAGTATATTTTATGTTTGGTGTCAACGAAGACTGGGTAGCAGATAAGTTGTGACCCAATTAATATCATGCCAACAAGACTCTGTTTTAATAAGAGGCCGTATAACATCTCGCCATCACTCGGGCTGAGCTTATTATACATATTATATACTGTTGGCGAGACAAGGGACAAGTTGGGATGAGATGATTGCAGGTTATTATTGCAGTTGCTCTTCTGGATAACAGACAGTGGGTTGATGTGCCTACATAATGACGTTGTCTGGTATTTGTGTTAGACTCGGTATCAAAATTCTATAACCGCACCGGCCTCAATTCTGGATGGCATTTTAGTAAGAGAGGATTTTGAAGTAGGGTAAATAAATAAAAAATTAAGCTGTTTTATTTATGTTTAGTATCCAAAACCTGATCGACCTAATGTTTCACTTTCTATAATTCATAGGACTGTTAACCTTTGTAATAATAATAATAATAATAAAAATAAAATAAATATATAAATGGCGGACGTTGTCAAAAGTAAATGATGCAAGCAGTACAAAATCTTAAAAATGAATTTTTCTAGCATATGTTTCAAGTTCCCAAATAACAAATTTTCAACGCAAATAGATTTTACAATATCAATATAAATAAAACTTTAAAAATCTGTGGATAACAAACGAATTTCCAGAAAAATGTATTTCATTCAAATTGACAACTGTCATCTAAGAAATTTTATAAACAGATTTATAAAATATTTAATTTAACGTTACATTATGCATCGAACGAGACGACAAATACTAATGAATACCGCCAATACCACAATCGCACACGTAACATCGCCTATGGGGGACTACACATCCATGGAATATAATCCTAGAGGCACAAGAAGAACCCCTGTACCATCTTTCAGGGGACGAAGAGCGCCACCCGCTGGCTTGGGACCTGCAGGAATTACCATCCTACAAGAGGACCCCGCTACTGATGGTGTAGTGCGACGACGCATGCGCTGAACTAAAGAATTAAATATAAGTGTTATGCACGCGTACTATAAGGCTACCAAAGGAGGAACCAATCTTACATCTTATCACCCTAAAATGCTTTCTGAATTCCAACAGCTACAGCCCAACCCCACAAACTTAACTGCCCAAAGACTTTCAGATCAAGTACGTGTCATTCTAAATCATAAGATTTTGGACGACAGATTACTTGAACAACTTTGCAGTGAGTACTCAACATCTACTATCAATTCAATTCCTGATTCCCAACGAACACTTCCAGGTGAGACTGATGACTTAAATGTTAATAACAGTAACCATAATATAAATATTACTAACTTAAACAACGAAAAAGTAGAGCAAAATTGTTTTGATATAAATGTGAGTTCCCAGGACAGCGAATATATGAGAAGGACTTTTGAATGTTTCCTTCTGGAATATAAAAATACACCTATAGAAAATAGACCGAAACTACCTAAACTTCCTAACAACAAAAAAACTATATTAACAGTAGCATCAATGAATATTCTATGTAAAGATTTTTTTGAAAAAAGTAATTATATTTTGGAAACTATGTCTCTTCTATACTGTTGTGCCCATGCTGTATGTATGATTATGAAAATTCCTGTCATTTATGTAAAAAAATTTAAGAAAAATAAAACAGAACTTAAGTGGAAACAAAGGATTCAAAAACGAATTGACAATACTCGCAAAATTATAGGAAAATTAATAAGCTACCAAACAGGTAACAGGCGTAAAAAAATAATTAGTTTAGTAAATCAAATCGCTAATGAAAATGATATTAGCCAATTAGATCCCCATTTTTCGGATAAAATTACTGAGTACATTGATAGGCAAAAACAAAAGTTAAAAGCATGGGCTAACCGTATTAGACGATATTCAGAAAGATCTAAACGGTACTTCCAGAATCGCACATTCGAAAGTAACCAAAAGTGGGTGTATCGGTCTTGGCAGAACAATACAACTAATAGTTGTACTCATGGCAGCCCAAGCTTAATTGAATGTCTAAATTTTCGGAAAAGTATGTGGTCTAGCGAAGTTTCGCCTAATGAAGGCGAGTGGATTCGTGCAACCGAACGTAAGTTTTCTAATTTGGCTAACATGGGTTCTATCTCAATTACTGCTGAAGACGTATACTCAATTACTCGTAGATCACACAATTGGAAGTCACCTGGACCAGATGGTATACACAACTTTTGACTGAAATGGATAACAAGTAGCCACGTGCGTTTGGCTACACAGATTCAAGAAGCCACTGAGTGCTGTGAGAGAACCTAAAAATTACCGACATGCCTTTCAACTGTATACAAATTAATAAATGCAATTTTTAATAACAAGATCTATAAACATTTGGAAAATAATAATATTATTTCAACTGCACAGAACGGATGTCGGAAAGGATCACGTGGTTGTAAAGAACTTCTTCTCATTGACACAGCTATTTGCCGACAAGTCTTTCGTAATCGCAAAAATATGTCCGCTGCTTGGATGGATTACAAAAAGGCATATGACGCTGTTCCACATTCATGGCTAAAGAGAGTTTTAGAAATATATAAAATAGATGACAAAGTTTGTAAGTTTTTAAGTAAAATAATGGGTCAGTGGAACACTGTCCTAAATCTACCAGGTTAGTGGCATAGTAGTTCAATAGACTCTATAAATATTAAGCGGGGTATATTCCAAGGCGATAGTTTGAGCTCAACTTGGTTTTGTTTAGTCCTGAATCCTTTAAGGAATATTGAGGAATCTGGATTAGGGTTTCGGTTTCCAAAAGAAAACTCACTCATCTCACATCTACTTTACATGGATGATCTGAAGCTATTCACATCAAAAGAGAGTGATCTACTATTATTGTTGAAATTAACACATAGTTTCAACAATGATATTAGAATGGAATTTGGAATAGATATATGTGCTGTCATCAACGTAAATAGGGGCAAAATTAAAGATTGTAATAATTTTGCAATTACAAATGACTTACATTTCAGTTCTCTTTCTGAAACAGAAACCTATAAATACTTGGGAATGGCAGAAGCGCTAGGAATTAATGACAAAAATATTAAAGAAAATTCAAATGTCAAGATTTAAAAAAGTTGTTAAAAGTCATTTGTCCGACGGAAACAAAATTAGAGCATATAACTCCTGGGTAATACCTAGCCTACAAGATGGTCTCAAACGGAATTAGATGACTTAGATAGACGAGTCCGTACATTAATGGCTACGCACAGAATGCACCACCTGCGATCATCTGTCATGAGGTTATATCTTCCAAGAAAAGATGGTGGACGGGGCTTATTAAACATTAAAAACCTATACAACCGTGAAGTATACAACCTCAGAGACTATTTTATTAAAAAAAAGACACATCACGCATTCATAGTGACGTAGTGATTAATGACAAATCATTAACCCCGCTTAATATGTCGGCAAAGGACTCGCAGAGGCCTCATACTATGACTATAGATGAACGCAAAAAGATTTGGAATGACAAACAACTGCATGGTGGATTTTTTAAAACATTGACTAATCCTTGTGTAGACATGGTTGCATCAGTACATTGGTTACAGTTTGGTGACCTTTTTGCAGAAACTGAAGGTTTTATCTGTGCAATACAAGATGAAGTAATTAAAACCAACAACTACCGGAAGTACATTTTGAGTGACGGCACAGTTGACGTATGTCGCGCATGTAACCACACTGGAGAGTCCCTCAGACATGTTATTTCCGGTTGTTCACAACTATCAAATGGCGAGTATTTGCACAGACATAACCAAGTAGCTAGAATAATACACCAGCAGCTGGCCATTAAATTTGGTTTTACTCAACAGGACTTACCATATTATAAGTATGAACCAAAGCCAGTCATTGAAAATAGAAGTGTCACAATGTACTGGGATTGGTCAATTATCACAGACAGGTTTCTAGTGGCAAATAAACGTGACATTGTGGTGATAGACCGAACTTCATGCAAGGCAATAATAGTAGATATCAGTGTTCCTCATGACGAGAATCTCGTGAAAGCAGAGATTGATAAAAAAATAAAATATATCGACTTGGCTCATGAGATTGTCGCTATGTGGGACGTTGATTCTGTTATGATTTTACTATTTTACATAATAAATCCACCTGATAGGCTATAAGTGATATGAGTATATCACAAACTAACTAGTAGATTCTACCCGAGAGTATATTTCAGAGATGACAGCTAACCTCAAATCAAAACGACATCAATCCGCCATTAGTGTTGCATTTATTGGTGAGAATAAAATATTAATTGCACTGAAATTAAGGCACATTCGTGGACTTGAATGATCAAAACTGGTTTAATATTTTATTTTAATTTATTTCCATTCTAGTACAAAACTAGGCCTACACTTCATACAATTTTGGACCGTCTCCTTTGTCATACGAGTTACAAAACATGATAAAATGCATCTATGGCGTAGTCGAAATTTAAATTCAAAAATGTTGTTCTTTACAAATTTGCTTTATACAAGCGGCGCCAAAAATCCAAACTTTTATTTATCCACTGGAGCTCACTAGTAATATAATAATATGATGAAACATTGAAAAGTGTTTTAAGAGAATGGATCTGCGTTTTACTATAATTTTTTTATTTAATGATTTCTAATATTTAATAATATCGGATTTATCGTCCACAAGTCTCTCGTTAACAACGATGTAAAGATTGAGAGTGTGTCGACGAGGGTTGCGTACCTTATACTCAGAATCACCAAACGGTATTCGCTGAAGGTCATGCAGGTTTACGCACCAACGTCGGCACGCCCCGATGAGGAGGTGGAGGAAATCTATGAGGATATCTCTAGAGCCATGCATTCCTCCAAAACCCAATATACGGTGTTAATGGGAGACTTCAATGCAAAACTGCACAAGACGGAATGGTGAGCTGAAAGTAGAGAAATTTGGAATAGGGCCACGGAACCCAAGGGGCCAGCAGCTGGCCGACTTCATGGAGAAAGAGGGACTCTTTATGATGAACTCTTTCTTCCAGAAGTGGCCCCACAGGAAGTGGACATGGTCGAGCCCCGACGGTTCGACAAAAAATGAGATTGACTTCATTATGGCGACCAGAAGACAACTGTTCAGTGATGTCGCAGTGATCGCGAGGGTGAAAACCGGCAGCGATCACCGATTGGTTAGAGGCACACTGAACCTAAACGTTAAGTTGGAGAGGTCTCGTCTAATGAAGTCAACGCTCCGTCCCCCTCGTGCTCTAATCCAAAGTTCCGAAACGTTTCAGCTCCAGTTTCAAAACCGTTTTCACTGCCTAGAAGACTGCAATGAAGTGGACGATATGAATGACAAACTCGTGAAAACTGTCCATGCGGTGCTAAGTTCTGCAAGACCCGCCGCAGAAGAACACAAAAACTCTCCGATCACACTCTTAATCTCATGGGTGTTATGAGATGAAGCTACATTCTTCAACAGATTTGACAGCATACAGGCTGAACAGACAGATCTCCAAATGCATGCGGCGGGACTTACGCAACTTCAATACTGCTCGTATTGAAGAAGCGATCGAGCGGAACCAAGGCTCCAAAGTCTTTGCCAGAGATCTGTCTGCCAGAAAGAGCCAACTGTCAAAGCTGAAGACCGAGTGTGGTAGCATCGTTTCCGGGACACCTGAGATTTTGAGTGAGATAGAGAGGTTCTATGCGCAGCTGTACACGTTATCGTTGGAGCCACACGCAAGTGTGAGTAACGATCCAAGAGGGAGTCTTATCCGACACTATTCCGAAAAAATCCCGGACGTCAGTCTAAGCAAGATTAGAATGGCTCTCCAGCACCTTAAAAACGGCAAGTCCCCAGGCGAGAATGGAATTACAGTGGAGCTTTTGAAAGCGGGTAGAAAACCGGTACTTGAAGTCCTTCAGAAGCTCTTTAATTCCGTTCTCCATGGTGGCACTACACCGGAGGCGTAGGGCAGAAGTGCGGTGTTCTTGTTCTTCAAGAAAGGCGACAACGCTCTCTTGAAGAACTACAGACCGATTTCCCTTCTGAGCCGCGTCTACGTGCTGTTTTCGAGAGTCATTACGAATCGTCTCGCGCGCAGACTTGACGACTTTCAGCCTCCCGAACAAGCCGGTTTCCGAAAAGGCTTTAGCACCATAGACCACATACATACCCTTCGGCAAATTGTACAGAAGTCAGAGTAGTATAATTTGCCACTATGTCTGGTGTATGTGTGTATGTAATTTGGGCGGTGCTGCAGTCCCTTCAGCGGTGCCAAGTTGACTGTCAGTATATCGAAGTGCTGAAGTGCTTGTACAGTAGAACTACGATGACTATCCGAGTACAGAACCAGAGTACGAATCCTATCCAATTGCAGAGAGGTGTAAGACAGGGTGACGTCATATCCCCGAAACTCTTCACCGCTGCATTGGAAGACGTTTTCAAGCTTCTGGCCTGGAATGGATACGGTATCAATATCAACGGCGAGTACATCACTCACCTGCCATTTGCCGACGATATAGTACTTATGGCAGAATCGCTGGAGGACCTAAGCCCCGCTTTGTTTCCTTTGTTCCCGCCTCCGTTTGGAAGCACTATTGAGGTCATTAAGCATAGTCTTAATGACCTCAATAGTGCTTCCAAACGGATAGGTCTTAAGATGAACATGGACAAAACAAAGATCATGTTCAATGTCCATGTCACACCTATGCCGGTAGTTGTTGGGAGCACTAAGCTCGAAGTTGTTGATGAGTATGTTTACCTGGGACAAATAGTCCGACTAGGTAAGTCCAACTTCGACCGAGAGGTCAATCGACGGATTCATCTCGGTTGGGCAGCGTTCGGGTAATTACGGCACATCTTCTCGTCAGGCATACCTCAATACTTGAAAACGAGACTGTACAACCAGTGCGTGTTGCCAGTGATGACATACGGAACTGAGACGTGGTCCTTCACTGCTGGCCGGATGAAGATGCTCAAGGTCGCTCAGCGAGCTATGGAGAGGGCTATTCTCGCAGTTTCACTGCGTGATAAACTCAGAAATGAGGATATCCGCAGTAGAACCAGAGTGACCGACATAGCCCAACGGATTAGTAAGCTGAAGTGGCATTGGGCCGGCCATATAGCTCGAAGAACCGACAACCGATGGGGAAGAAAGATTCTTGAGTGGCAGCCTCGTACCGGCAGGTGAAGTGTTGGGCGTCCCCCCACGAGATGGAGTGACGACC